GGAGAAAAGAGCGAGGAGAGAGGGCGACGAAGACGACGATGAGAAGAAGAAGAAGATGTAGAAGAAGACGAAGAAGAGGAGAAGAAAGAGGAGGTGGTAGGGGAAGAAGGGGAGAAGATAAAAAAAGAAGGAAAGGGAAGAAAAAAGTAGAAAAAGAAAAAGAAGAAAAAAGAAAATATGTCGGCATACGCGGTCTTACGAGCGGTTACGAGATGTCTTTGTATAAGGACGACGCATGGTACGTGTATATAGAACATAAAGGCGACGCGTGAACGTTGGGAAGGATGAGGAAGAAAGAAAGAAAGAAAGAAAGAAAGAAAGAAAGAAAGGAAGAAGAAAGAAAGAAAAAAAAAAGAAAAGGGGTTGGGGAGGTGGAGGAGGAAGAAGTAGCGTTGAGAGAAGAGGTGGGGTGTTGTACGTACCATGGACATCCAATTACGGTTTATTCAGTCCTCTCTGCGGGGGCATCATACTGGGTCCTACCAAAATTCACGCTCTCTACGTCCTCGTATTATTCTCTACCTGGCGCCTATCACTATCTCTCTTTCTCATTACCAATGGTATCGACGAAAATGGGAAAGGGAGAAGGAGAATGAAGAAATAAATGCAACGAGGGGGTTGTGAAAAAAGAGAGAGGGAGAGAAAGAGAGAGAGAGAGAGAGAGAGTTGAGGAATGATGGAATAAATGCAGGAGGGGGTTGTGAAAAGAGAGAGAGAGAGAGAGAAGGAAAGGACGAGGGAAAGGGAAAGGGAACCCAGTGTGCGCCCTGCCACTTACAGGGAACGTGATACGAGCTTTTCGTTAGATGCTCTCTTGCGTTTTCGCATTGTTGCGCGATCCGGTGGTGGAACCACCGCGTACCAACCTCTCTCTCTTTCTCTCTCTCTTTCTCTCTTTTTTCTTTTTCTACCGAATGTATATATATATATATATATATATATATATATATATATATATATATATATATATATACATATATATATATATATATATACCACTTCCATCGACCTCCTCCCTATTACTCCTGTCTACATCTACCTTCCCCATACCATCGATCCATGTCTATATTTCCTTCTCGAACGAGAGGAAGAACGTCCCAATGTCGCAACAATGGGAATCGATGTCGAGCATGAAGCTTTGTGACGGACTCTCATACTCTTATTTCCGCAAAGCAAATCAATCGACGCTACGCCGCGCCGGTTACGGGAGCTCTTCCGTCATCTATATATATATATATATATATAAAGAGAAAGAGAGAGAGAAAGAGAAAGAACAGAGATATATATATTTTCTCTCTCTCTCTCTCTCTCTCTCTCTTCTGCGGATTTCCTCTCATAAATTTTTTTCTCCCACGAGAACGATCGTCTTCGCGTATAATAAACCATGATATAGATCGTTTTGCATTTCTATTCACGTTTGCAAGCATATTTTTATTAGTTCTTTTTCCTTCTTGTTTTGTTTTTTTTTGTTCTTTCATTTTCTTTTTTTTTTTCTTCTTGTTTTGTTTTGTTCTGTTCTGTTTTGTTCATTATAGCAAATTATATAATGGTAAACTTATAATATAACTTCGTATTATGATTATAGTAAACGACACACACTAATCTATGGATATAAATTGAGAATTAATCTTTTGGGAGAAAAAGATTGCAAAAATATAGTTAAAAAAAAAATATATATATATATATATATATATATATATAAACGTGTGATTTTAAAGTTACATAAAGTTATAAAAAATTAACTCGTATACGTTACTCTCAAGTAATATAAATAACAGATTATCGATAAACGATAATTCCTGTCAATCAAATTTCTAAACAAGTTTAGAAATTTCCACGCACACCCCTCCCACACATTAAGTTGGCAATTTGTGTCAGAGATAAGATCGAACGGTCGATTTGGTGAGAATTTAATGTTTGAAAAGGGAGAAGAATCATCGGTAGAGAACATCAAATACGGTGTCAACGATTCTCTCTCTCTCTCTCTCTCTCTCTCTCTCTCTCTCTCTCTCTCTCTCTCTCTCTCTCTCTTTCTACATATATATATATATACCTATGTATATATATGTATCTTGAAGTAGAAACCACTTTTACCGTGTATTTCTAAGGATGAATACCAGGCTCACAACGGGTGGTTCCATGGTGTTGACGACCCTACAGAATCTCTCGAATATATGTCAATTCCCGTGATTCGATGTGATTCGAGTGACAGAATTATTTTCTTTCGGTTTTTTTTTTTTTTTAAGCTAAAGAAGTTGAGTCCCCCCCCCCCCCACCACCTATCCCTCCTTCAATCCACACTCTTCAGAAAAAGAAAGGCGATTCCTTTCGTCGTTGATTTTTCCTTTAACTAACAATAAAGAAAAAATTTATTAAATTTGTAAAATTCTTAAAACAAAAAAAAAACTTTTAGAATGATCAGTAAGAGCACATGTGGACGCTCTGGATGTCAAACGTCATTATTCTAACTTCGTCCCATGTCAATCAAAAATGGTGTCCTTTTTCTGCAAAACAAATGACATCCCTTTCCTCATCGTCCCTTACGAAACACGTTTGTCGCCTCTTTTCGGTTATCCTTAGGTATCTCGAACGACCATAGAAATCTGGTAACCATGCATTATTTTAGGACACCTAAAAGACATATTTTTTTAACGAGTCAAGTCCACAATCCCATCCTTGGTGTGTTGGTCGGCAAACAAAACAAAAACGGAGATTCTTTATATTCTATCTCATTTCTCTTCTTTCCTTTTATACTGTCATTTTTTTTCTAAAGAATATTCGTTAAATTGGAATACGTTAATTGTAGGATAAACTAGCTAATAGGATTTTCATTGACCTCAGTACAATGAAAAGGAATATAAAAAAAAAAAAAAAAAAAAAAAAATAGGAAGAAAAAGAAAAAGAATAAAAATTAAAAAAAAAAAACAAAAAAAACAAAAAGGAAAAGAAGATTGTATCCCACTGAAAGGAGACACAAGCTTCTTTTTGTTAAGTTGATAATGCGGATGAGCATAATGGAAAACAAAAAACAAAAAAGAAATTAGAAAAAATACAGAGAGAGAGAGAAAGAGAGGTAGAGAGAGAGAGGGAGAGAACAGAAAAGAAAAGGAACAGGTGAGGGGTAGGGTGGAACACGTGTAGAAAGGCTGTAACCGACATTAACTGCTCTTACGGCTTATCTACGAGGAAAAATTGATTTACGGTACCAAGCGCGGAGGTTATGAGCGTAGCGACGGTGTATAACTGGCATGGTTAGAAGCTACTTACTACAAAACTTGGATAGAGTTTCACGAACAAGTATGTTTTTGCTTTACTTAAATTCTATACTCTTGGTATATAGAATGTCCTGGCGCTCTCTCGCTTTAACGGGGCAAAGAGAAATCGACGTTGTTGGGTGTTTTAAAAAGACGAATACAAATTCGAGAGGAATAAGAATAAAAATAAATATAAGAGTAAGAATAAGAGTAAGAAAGAGATTAATTTCAATTCGACAATTTTACCTGAATTAATATCATTCTCCATTGTTATTATTATATACACTTATAAATAATTTAAACAATGTATATATGTGTACGAATACACGAACATAGGTATAACGAACTTGTTAGGTTTCAGAGAGAATAAAATGTTGACTTTTCTATCGTACTAAATCGAAATAATAATAATAATAATAATAATAATAAGAATAATAATAATAATAAAGTCGTGAAACTTGAAACTTGTCGCGAAGAACTCTGACAAATTTTTTTTCGAATGAAGAAAATGCGACGATGTAATTCATTTAGAATATTTGAAATAAGACACCGTGATTGGCCATATTCGCCATTAATAGATTCCTCTTGTAGAAACGAACCAATCACGTGACAGAATCGTCTATCGTACCTTTCTTTCGTTGGTTTTTTCATTTCTACTTTATTGAACTTCGCACGATATGTGTGTATGGGTGTGTTCGTTTGTAAGAAAAAAATATTTGAAATTGTAAGAAATAAAATGAAATGTATCATGATTTTTAAACGATTCTATTCGTTACATATTGTCTTTTATTATTACAGATGAAAAAAAATAACAGATTGCGTTAGGCAAATCGCGATAATTAAATTCGTCGAAGGAATATTTTTCCTAACCTCAATAATAATATTGTCACAATTGAATCTTATCGAATCGCTCGACACAGTATAAAAACAAAACGTAACACAATAGAATGACAAAAAAAAAGAAAGATGTACGAAAAGAATCATAAAGGCACACATACACACACATAACCTTTTTTCATTCATTTGTCCAAGTTACGGCGTCATTCGAGAGTCTTTTGTGGTTATTTTTGCGTGGTCCATCACGTTCCTATATCTCGAGAAATAAAGAGGGCCTGCACGTGCCTATTCTGGGCTTATCATTAATGACGTTATAAACTGAAAAAAAGAATTACACGGATTTAAGGTGAACAAAGCAAGAGTAACGTGAGTGTGTAAGAGAGAGAGAGTGAGAGAGAACGAGATATTCGACGAACGATGATGTCTCGTTCTTTGCGTTCGATCTGTTCTTTACAAAGGGTGAGAGAGACAAAAAAAGAGAAAGAGAAAACGATAGATAAAAGGAGAAACAGAGAGAGACAGAGAGAGAGAAAGAAAGTAAGAGAGATAAAACGGTAGTGTACGATGGGAGGAGGATTCGTAGAAGGAGGGGAAAAGATCTGGAAGAGGAGAGATAGACAGCTAGAAAGAGAAAGGAATAGAGAGAGAGAGAGAAAAGAAAGGAAAGAAAGAGAGAGAGAGAGAATGAGAGAAAAAGAGGGGTACGCAAGGGTCGTAGGAGCAAAGAGAAGTAGTTAACGAGGCTTATTTAGGAACGTGCTCGTCTCGACCAATAAGAAGACGATATGGTGGTCGCGGTCATGCCTAGTATCCAATCGGATAACGCGGAGGGTAGACGTCGTATAAGCCACGCCCCGGCCAATAGGAGGCCGCGCGAAGTACGGTCGCTTTGGGAACGCGGTTCACCGAGCAGTATCGTTCGGTGCGCGCGTAGAAGAACGTCTGACTCTCCTCGCGCCGTCGATAAGAGAGAAAGAGGGAATCGCTCGTGCACACGCGCGCACGCGACGCCCTCCTCCTCCTCCTCTATCCTTTTTTTTTGTTACCTATCACGGTATTGTAAAAAATATATATACAGTGAATATATTATTTTATAACGTTTTAAAAAGAAAAACACTCGTGAATGTTGTATTATATCTCGGAAGACGTTTGCTGTTGTTATTAAGAAAGAGATAGGTAGATAAATAGATAGAGAGAGAGAGAGAGATTAAAAATTATACGTCGTATGGAACTCGAACGGTCGTAATTTTATTCTTTATTCTTTTTGAACAGAAACAGACAAGGATAGAGATAGAGATAGTGAGAGAAAGAAGAGAGGGAGAGATAGGGAGAACATTCGATAAAAAATTGTGAGTTCCTTTAACGAAATTTGTGTAGTTATGTAGAGTAAAGAGAAAGATAGATAGATGGGTAGATAGAGAGAGAGAGAGAGAGAGAAAGAAAGAGAGAGAGAGTAGAGCGATGGAAGAGAGAAACGGGCTGTCTTTAAAACGCTGTCTAATAATAGGGCGCGCGCGAGTGTACTAAAGCGCCTATAAATATACCCACCACCGCCCGTGGAAACTCGAGCCCGTGGACTTGGCGGTGCAACCTGCCGTGCTAAGGATAATAGGAAAAAAAAGGAGTGAGACAGAGAGAGAAAAAGAGAGAGAGAAAGATAGAACGAATAAGAGAAGAGAAATTGTATGCGATATTATTAATTAATGTGTTATAACGATAAACATGGAATATACATACGCATTCACGATTGTCTAGAGATAGAGATAGAAATAATGTTAGAGAGACAGAGATAAGGTATAAAATATACGTCAAATATACTTTGCGACGGATCGACGAAAGAAGAGTATCTGTCCCCTCCCAGTCGTCTCGTCATCGTCGTGTCTCTCTTTGTTATTATAAAAGTCCTTGATAATTTTATGTTAACATCGTGTCATAACAATCATTCTTTCGAAGTAATTAAATAATAATATCGAGATTTTACGGCGGAGGGGTGGGGTGGGGGAGGATTTATATATTATCATTGATAAGTGTTACGGTGTTTCGAATTTTACTAAGAAGAAGAGGAAGAGAAGAAACTCCGGGTGCCGGCATGCAGCAACAGCAGCAGCAGCAGCAGCAGCAGTTACCGGTCGTTCTCTCTATCAGCGATGCTCTAAAAATATCACAACCGTTCTTCTCCTGTCTCCTTTCACGAAAAGTTTCCGCGTTCCGTGTCTCCTTCTTCACGAAAGCTAACTTTCCATGATCGGTAAAAAGAGACGAAACATTCAGCGTCGTCGTCGGCGACGATCGTACGACGTTGCTGACCTTTATATCTTATCGCGATCGTGAATAATAATAATAAATAATAATAATAATAATAATAATAATAAGAAGAAGAAGAAGAAGAGGAACAATAACGACAACGATAATACAGGAAATATAACAAATATACTCACGATTACGAAGAAAAAGAAGAAGAAGAGAAAGAAGAAGAGGAGGAGGAGGAAGAGGAGGAGGAGGAGGAGACGCAATGATCATCGATCGGTGCGGGCCGCGTAATTCGTCGTGGATAGTTGCGAAGTTTGCTACGAGCGAGATATGCCGCGAACATATCGCGATCGCGAAGTGTCGAAAAAGCGCGAAAATTTCTTTCGTTTGAACTAGAAGGTGTGAAAAGTGTTTTTATAAATAATAGTAAAAAGGCAAAGTAGAAGAAAAGAAAAAGGAAAGAAGAAGAAAAGAAAGAAATAAAAGGGGAATCGACGAAAGGGGGGGAGCAGGGGGGGAAACTCTTGTAAGAGATAATAGAAAAGTGTGTGTTAATCCAGTAAAGAAAAAAAAAGAGGGAGGGGGAGGGTGTTGTTAGGTTAGATTAGAAACAAACGAGGAAGAGGAAGTGGAAGTGGAAGAGAAAGGCGCAGTAGTAGAGAGATATAGTAATAGTATACACAAGTAGGTAGTGTGTAAGAAAGGCAACAAAGAAAAAGAAGAAAAGAAAAGAGTGAGTAGAGAAGGAAGGAAGGAAGAAAGGAAGGAAGGAAAGAAAGAAAGGAAAAAAAAAAAGGGAAAGGAGAATGACGCGATGATGGCCTACGGAGGAAGCGCTGGTAACGGTGGAGGCGCGATGGGACCTTCGGCCGGTGGTGGAGGCGGTGCTGGTACGACGGACGTTTTAGGCTCGACCAGCGATTATAGTCCTCAAAGCACGCCGACGCCACTCTCGGCCTCGCATTCGTCGTCCGCTGGCGTCGAGGCGGCGGCCGCGGTTACGAGCTACGGTACTGGTACCACCGGGACGACGAGCAATTACAGTCCCCAGGACAGTCCCGCCAGCTCGGCGGGCGGTGCTACCAACAACGGACAACTTCCGACATTTGGTTTCACCCAGGAACAAGTTGCCTGTGTTTGCGAGGTGAGTAGTTAAAAAAAAATATTGGAAAAGGGAAAAAAAACAACAAAAACACCTCCCATTGTTGTTGTTGTTGTTCTTATTTCGTTTTGTATGTAGTAATTTTTCGTTTGAATTATACGAACAGCTCAAATTCAATTTTAGAAAGATTTTAGAGAATTTTCATTCATTAAGTCGCGCGTTACGATAATCCGCGAGTGATATGTATATATATATATATACATATATATATATATGTATATGTATGTGTATATATTATTAAACTGTGTTGGCAAGCCTGCTGCTTTTACGTTTGAAAAGTTTTTTTTTTCTTTCTTTTCCAGAAACAAATTTTCAAATTGATATATATATGTATATATATATATATACACACATACACACACACAAAAAGAATCATCTCTGTCATATATCGCATGTGTAATATATTTGTTCTTTATTAAAAAGTCTTTGATCTCGTCCTTTTGTACGAGGAACAGAGATAATTTAAATTTTAAGGTTATTTCCTGTACGGTAATAATATCTAAGGTTTATATCGTTGATAGAAATATCTATGTTTGTGAACGTGTATATGGGCACCATTATATCACTACGATTTCTTGGCAATCGTTGTAATTGTGCAATCGTTTTGAGCGTCGATTTCGAACGTGTATCATCTCGTAGTGCAACGACTACGATCATCATCATCGTCATCATTATCCCGACGGGTACAGAGAGATTGTTGCCTGGTTGGTGATTTATATATATATATATTTTTTGGAATGTACGTGCAATATCGTCAGCTTTCTTTTATCTTTTTCCTTTTTTTTTTTCTTTTTTCTTTTTTCTTTTTTTATTTTTTATTTTTTTTTTATTTTTTTTTTTTTTTTTTTTTTAACAGTAGCCGAATGGTTTTCGTATCGTCGTAATTATAAGATCTCTGATACCATGTATACGGATAGAAGAGGAGATATCCATCGATATTGTTTTAAACTGTATACGAGCTGTTTTATTTTTATTTTTTTTTATTTTTTTGTTTATTTTTTTATTTTTTTATTTTTTTATTTTTTTTTAATTTTTTTTTTCCCGTTCATATGCGTGTTTTATCAAAATTGTAAAGCAATTTATTTCTTTGATAGAATATCGAATATATATATATATATATGTATTATAAATAACATTCTTTTTTTTTATTCTTAAAAAAAAAAGCAAGAAACAAAAAGAAAAAGGAAAAAAAGAAATCTAACACTCGGCCATATTGTAACTATTATAGATATTTTTATCAGGATAGAAAGGAAAAAAAGAAAATTGATACGATACATTTAAGAGATTTATCTATATCTATCGAGAGGTTCTTTTTTTTTTTTTATATCCGATCTGCAAATATATACACACCAATCTCGGTCCGGTAAAGGGAAAAAAAAAAGAAAAAAAGATAAAGTAAAAGAAAGAAGTAGAAACAAGAGAAAGAAATTTCTCTTTTGGAAACGCATTTGTTTTGGTTAACACGGTAGAAAGAGATGGAGAGATGAAGAAGGCGCGCAACGTTTCCTATCCAAATTCTTTCTCGCACCATAAAGGTTTTCTTTGTTTTATTATTTTTTTTCTTTCTTTCGTTCGTTCATTCGTTCCGTTCGTTCATTCTTTCTTTCTTTCTTTCTTTCTTGATACGTCCTTGGTCCGGCCACTAAAAAGATCCTTTGTTTCTTTCTACTATATATATATATATGAGTTATATATATGAGTTATATACATGGAAACGAAACGTATAACGTAATGTAATGTAGAAATTTTTAGTTGTAAACACCGTCGGCATATAGCACAGAGAGGTTAGGTTCCGACGGTATTTTTGATATGTAAAATTTATACTGTTCCCTGATTGGTTGGATTGATTGTTTCAATTTGGTTAGTTTAGTTACTTGTTTGCGTAAGTTCCATCGAATTGAGATTACGAGTTTAATCTAATCGAGTTTAATAAACGACGATATGATTACACTTTCTCTCTTTTTCTCTCTCTCTCTCTCTTTCTCTCTCTTTCTATCTCTATCAATTCTAAATATGCAACTTAATTAGATTATTCCATTTTGAATCTTTGTAGATTATGATGAAATCATTTTACGATTGAGCTGCATTCGAATAAGAAGAATGCAGAATTTTCATGAGTTTTAAACAAGGTCACATTTTACATTATTTCTTATTTATTTTATTTTATTTTATTTTATTTTATTTTATTTTATTTTATTTTTTTTATTTCTCTTTTAATCTCACTCCTCACAAACGACAATATAAAAAATTGCGTAGTATATCTGCAAAAAAAAAAAAAAAGAAAAAAAGAAAAAAAAAATACATACAAATTTGTTCGAATTGTAATGGATTTGTACGTATGACCGAGGAGGAGGAGGTTATAATGGTTTGTTGTGAGCCTTAAGGCCCCCGAAAGTATAAATGCGGCCCTGATTTTAATAAACGTTTGTTCAATTATTTCTTCCACGTTAATTTGATATTTAAAGAGTTTGATCTAGAGTAGAAATTTTTATTTGTTTCGTTTCGAAAAAAAAGAAAGAAAGAAAGAAAAAGAAAAAGAGTATCTACGTTTACTCTCTCTCTCTCTCTCTCTCTCTCTCTCTCTCCCTCGTATTACTTTATCTTCTTTCGTGTATATTTCACGCTCGTGTTGGCGCGAAGGAAATGCAACGAATTCAATGAATGCGCTGCTGTAACCCATCGGTAGTGTATGTACGTATCCACCACCGTAGCTATTTATATGTCGGCTCCACTTGATCGTGAAAGGAGAAGAAACAATCGAATCATTTAGAATTTCAATGACGAAACTTTCTTTCGATTTCGAGAGAGAGAGAACGTGCCTTGCGAATTGAAACTACGAGGACAGTGTTCCGATTTGAATGTTACGTTAGATAAAATACTAAGTTGTTCCTTTGACACGTGCAGTTTTTTTCAATAAGGCGGCAAATTTAAATTATTTCTTGTTTCTTCGTTTTTCTTCTTTTTTTTTTTTCTTTTTTTTTTCTTCGATTGTGAAATAAACGCGTAATCGAGGTGACTTAATTCCGACGTTTGGAAATTGTCGAAATATTTGACCGACGTTTTAAATGTTCCTTTTGATTCGCGTAATTCTTCTCGATAACGCGGCAAATTTAAATTATTCTTTCCTTTTCTTTTTTCTTTATTTTTTTTTATTTTTTTATTTTTTTATTTTTTTTTTGTTCGATAAATAAATGCATAATCGATGCGATTTAATTTCGACGTTTTTCGAATTGTCAGAATATTTGAATTATGTGTTTTATGCTCGTTCCTTTGATTCTCGTAATATTTGTCCCGATAATTCGACCGACCCAAGAGATTCTTTTTTTCGACCGTTAAATAGATGCATAATTGAGGTGACATAATTCTCGACGTTTCTGAATATTTGATTGACGTTTCAAGTATTCCTATGATTCTGATAAAGTAATGTTTCAGTTGATACAGTAAATTCAAATGTTTATTTCGACCGATAAATGAATGATTATTATCGAGCAGACTTAATTTTGACGTTTAAGATGTTCCTTTGATTCACGTAGTTCTTTTTCAATAACGCGGCGAATTCGAACATTTGTTTTGGCCCAAGAAACAGATGCTCTTCGAGGAAACATAATTTTGACGTTTTTAGAACATCAGAATAGATAAAATTGTCCCTGAAATTCTTCGTGCGAAAGAGAAAGAGAAGAAACGAAAGAGAAAGAGAGAGAGAGAGAGAGAGAGAGAGAGAGAAAAAGAGAGAGATAGGTGGGCTAATACTTATTGTCGAAAGTCTGGCATCCGGCAAAGTACCTTCCAAAGGCGCGAGTCACGCGTGTTTAATAGAGTTCCTACGATTTTACTGCAACCCGTAAATTGTTTCGCGGACGACGTTTACGTTTCTCAAATCCAACGACTTAGAAGAGAACACGACGATGACCGACCCACACGTTTCTAACGAGTAAAGCTTTGTCGCTTTATGTCTACCTTCGGATTTACAATGAACAATTTTCTTTCTCTTTCTCTTTCTCGTCTTCTCTCCTCTCCTCACCTCTTTTCCTCTCTTTTCCTCTCTCGTGAGACAGGTAAAATTGTTTTCGCATGACGTACGACGTTTCGCATGTCGTTTATATTTCCATCGCGAGATTGTTATTCGTTTGGAAGCTTTAGAAAATTATCCGTATGATATACGTTAACTCTCCAAGAATATTTAGCTCTTGTCACAATAATCTTTTTCAGTTTCTCTATCTCTTTCTCTCTCTCTCTCTCTCTCTCTCTCTTTCCGTTTATAAATTATGGAAGTTTTTTCTTCCTTTTATTTATTTTTTTTTTCTTTTTCTTCTTTTTCTTTTTTTCTTCTGATAACTTTTAATATTGGATATGCATATGTCGCGTCGCATTCCTAAAGTAACAGTATATATATATATATATATTTGTTTATTTATTTATTTATTTATTTATTTATAGAAAATCTATTATCATGCCGCGTATAAAATCGTTGTCCTAGTATCGTTTTTAACGATAATTAAATTCAATGAGATTAATATAGATCAGATTATAAATAAATTCTTTAATGTACTCTCTATAACACTAATTTTTTTTTTCTTTTTTTTCCTAATCCCTGGAAATTATCTAATACAAAGGGATTACATATAGTATTACTTATATCGATATAATTATACCGGTGTACTAATTGTATTATATTTATCATTGATATAGGATAATTATATTACTAGCGATATCACAGTATATACATATTATTATCTCTATATAAATTCATAGAAAAATCGTATGGAGGGATATAAATTTACGGACTAATAAGTAGTATAACTGTGCTATGATATAGCTAATAATATAATTGTTAATATAATTTGGTGTAATTATGAAATATAACTTATTTAAAATAAACAAGTAAATCAGTATATTAGTATAATAAATAATATATAGTATATTATTATAATTTTATTAAAATAAACAAACGTGTAGAAGAACTTTGATTATGAATTAACAATTAAATTTATGTCGATCAAAAAAAAAAAAAAAGTAAAGAAGAAAATATTACAATTTAAGTATATAAAAAATTTATGCGATACATTAATTTATTTGATTATTTTATAAAACAAACAAACAAATCAATATGAAATAAAATGAAATAAACAATTATAAAAATAAAACGGGTATTAAAATAAAAAATTTAGAAAATAAAAATAAAATAAACATATTAGTACACTAGTATAATAAGTAAATATATATAGTATTTATGCTTATTGTAAAATCTTATTAAAATAAAGAAACGTGTGAGAAAACTTTTGACATGAATTAACAATTAAGTTTGTATCGATGAAAAAAAGAAAAAAAGAAGAAAGAAAAAAAAATGCGAAAAGAAAAGAAAATATTAAAGTCTTAAGTATTATACATAACTTTGAAGTTTACATGATGTTATGAAGAGTTAATAAAACGTAAAAAAAGAAAAGGAATAAAGAAAAAAAAAAAAAAAAGAAAGGAAAGAGAAGCTGAAGAGTAGGAATTTTCTTGGACGTTGAAGCGTCGGCGTGATTAGTTACTGGACCATCGGAAGCTGTGCGTACCTCGTCATTAGCTGACCGATCATGCGATTCCACGTCGTCCATTTCTCTTCCTTGAGTTTGAGAACGTGCCGAGCTTTAGCAACGTTTCTTCTTCGTTAGATCTCTCTCGGTGATTTCTCGTTCCTTCGCGAGATTAATCGCCCCTACGTTCGAGAAAACTCATTGCGACGGTCCGAACCGATTTCAGTGATTCAGATCGAGATAAATAGCTAGAAATCAATGTTAACATCGATTTATTATACCATGCTAATTCACCTTAATCGATAATTTACATTCTATCGACTAGCATATATATATATATATAAATATATGTATATATATGTATCTGTATATGTACGTGTGTGTGTATTTGTGTATCGTTTTTTTTAATTCATCCAAATTTTGATAATTATAAATTTTATAATATATTGATGAATATATGAAATACTTGCAAGAATTATCGAATTTTAATTCATTCAATCATATATGTTTTTATCTTTATTAAAAATTCTTAACTCTTTTTTGCGTTAAAGTAGGTTAAAAATTATGTACTCACATTTTGTTTAATTTTTTTTTTATATGCAAGGTGGGATATATTTTAATTCATCTCGTTATAATTTATTTTATTTTACTTTATTTCATTTTATTTTCTTTTTTTTTTTTCTTTTTTTTTCTTTCTCATTTTGAGTGATATTTTGTGTTAAGTAATTGAAACGAACGGTTTTTTTTTTTTTAAATTCTATGCAAATTTGGGTTTTGACTTTCTTTAAAATTGTGTGCCTCAAAGAGTTAATTTAATTAAATATATATCTGTGTTATTCTTAATGCATTCAATAATATATACCAATAATAAATTAACTCTAATTTATATATATATATGTTTCTTTCTAAGTCTACGAAAAAAAAAATATATATTACGTGAAAGTTATTTGTATTGATTATAGTATATTTGATATAATTCATACTTCTGGAATATAATGAAAGAAAATCTTTGTAGACAAAATAACGACGAATAAATTTTGTCTCGGATGAAAATTAAATTGACACAATAAATTACTATAATTTTTATGTTGAATTGAATAAAAACAGATGAGAAAATTTAAAATTGATTGCTCTTTTTTTTTTTTATTTTTTTTTTTTTTTATATCAAATTATCAATTATATATGTGTGCTCGTTGTTAGAAAAGAAAAGATTAAGAAAAACAAATGCAAATGCAAAAGAAGCAAATTAAATTGAAATAAAATTAAATAAAATTAAAATTAAAATTAAATTAAATTAAAATTGAAATTAAATTAAATTAAAATTGAAATTAGAAAGAAAAAGTGTACCAACTAGAGTTGTAGAAATAAGAGGAGAACGGGATGAGAGTTCTGCCGACTAACAGCGTGCCCCCCCTGTCTATCGTCTTCAAGGCGATGGTGTCGAATGTTCAGGTTCTCCAGCAAGCAGGCTCCGTGGAAAGGCTTGGAAGATTTCTCTGGTCTTTACCGGCTTGTACGAGATTACACAGAAACGAGAGCGTTCTAAAGGCAAAGGCTATAGTCGCTTTCCATCGTGGCCAATTCAAAGAGCTCTATAGGATTCTTGAGAGCAATACCTTCAGTGCGCACAATCATCCAAAACTGCAGGCCCTTTGGTTGAAGGCACATTATATCGAGGCTGAGAGACTTCGAGGGAGGCCACTCGGTGCGGTCGGTTAGTATAATAAATTATTTACTATTTAAAAAATAAATATATATATATATATATATATATACATATATGTGTGTATAAAAGAAAAAGAAAAATATATCCATTAGTTATTTTATATAAAATATATTCATCGTTATCTTTTATATTTTTTATGTTTTTTTTACAACATATTTTTTATATATATATATATATATTTTTTTTTCTTTTAGATTCGTTGTCGTCTAACGATTATTTATGATCGATGGATTTAATTGTTACAATTGATGTTTAATTGTTAAAAACATTGCTTGAAATGGATCACGAAAATTCTCGTATATAATATATATATATATATATGTATATATTAGTTTGTATAAGAGTATGTAATGAATAACTTCAAAATTTAATGGGGTAATTAATATTAAAGCGTGACTTTAGAAATTTATTTAAAAGAGCTTTTTGTGTATATTCATTAGCCAAAAACATGGCTGGGTCTATTAGATAAAGTTAGCAATGAAACTTAGCCCTAAGTCCATTGGGTAAAGTTAGCAATAAAACTTAGTTCCCGATGTGTTAAGAACGTTTAATGTTTTTTTTTTTCGATTTTTCTTTTTTTTTTTTTTTTTTTTTTGATCGATTAGGTACATAGATCCGATTTTTAACTATTTAGTTTTAACCACCACTCTACCCCCTCACACTATCCCCTATAATCCAGTTTTTTTCCTTCCCCCCCTTTTTTTTTGTTCTTTTTTCTTGTATTAATTATAACTTATATTCAAAAAAAAAAAATATATACACATAATGATAAACATTGGATATAAATGACAAGTGAATGTTTCGACAATACATTGAAATAATAAAATTCGACAAAATTGTAGAGGATTGAAATTATACATTGGATGACGTTTATAAAAGAGTTTAATTTTAAAATCGTTGGAACACCTTAATCTTTTTATACTATGTCATTCTTCGATGACACATTTTCTTATTTAATTACTTAAGAAGTCCAGAAAGACGTGGACAATTATCTGTCGTCTCTCAATTAGCTTTTCAATACCATCAAAATGTCGTGTATTAATCATCATTACGAGGAGTGCCAATGGAAGATATTTCGTTTGTAAGAATGAGAAGAAGTGAGGAGGAGAGAAATAGTAACAGTAGTAGTAGTAGTAGGAGGAGGAAAAGGAGGAGGAGGAGGAGGAGGAGGAGGAGGACGAAGAAGAAGAAGAAGAAGTGAAGGAGAAGGAAGAGAGAGGAGGAGACTAAAACGTATTTCTCTTTCTCTTTCGCACTTGAAATCTAGAACGAAGATTCGCCAACGTTATTTCCGTCGCGTCTTGTAAACAGGAGAGGAAGACGCAGGTTTTAACGAGACGACATTTTAATTAGATCCTCACGCCTTCGCTTTTGCAAACCTATGCCTGTTAGTCGATCCGCTCTGATGCTAAAACGAGAAAAAGAGGGGGAGAGAGAGAGAGAGAGAGAGAGAGAGAGAGAATGACGAGAGGAAGGAAACGCATTTGGCATCGTCGAAAAGTATTCCGCGAAGATTCGAATTTACTTATTCAAAGTGGAATCGTTCGTTCGAATGATTCGATACATATACACATATACATACACACTTACACAAATATATATATATATATATATATACATACACATACACAAACACAGAGTATACACTGCTCTTCGAATCCCTGTTCTCTATCGTCAATGAGAAGGAAGAGAGAAGATTTCAACATTTTCTTCTTTTTTTTCTTATTTTTTTCTGTTTTTTTTTTTTTTTTTTTTTTTTTTTTTTTTTTTTTTTTTTTTTTTTTTTTTTTTTTTTTTTTTTTTTTTTTTGGGTTTCTTTTCCTTTGCCACTTTTAACGCAGCAGGAAAGAGAGAGAGAGAGAGAGAGAGAGAGAGAGAGAGAGAGAGAGAGAGAGAGAGAGAGAGAGAGCGAGAGAGCCCTCCATGTTACAGAGATCTTGATCTAAAAGTAACTCGCAAATCGTCAAAGTAACTTTCCACCGTGGCCTACGATCATCATCATTATCATCATCATCATCATCATCATCATCATCATCGCCGCATGATTTTCGATTTTCTTTTATAAACAATAAAATGCAAAAAGTGTTAAATATTATGTCAATTAGAGAACGAGAGAAAGAGAGAAAGAGTTTTCATGATGATCTCTTCATAATAAACGAAATATACGCTTTGATTATAAGTTATATATTATTATTGAATATAATGTACTAGAAGTAATTATATTGTATCAAGTGTTGTAAGTTAGATTTAAAAAGGGGGAAAAAAGAAAGAAAGGAAAACAAAAAAAAAAAAAAAAGAAAGGATTAATCAAGTACAACCTTGTCCATTTTTTCCCATTCATTTTTTAAAACGTTTTTATTTTTTTATTTTTTGGAAACGTCATAAAAAATTCATTTAAAAATTAATAACAACTGGAGTGCATTTGCGGATCTGTATGTATATCTTTATCGATCAATGAATATTTCTATGGAAGCATAGAATCATAGCGTTAAATTCATAATACGTTGTTACGTTATTATTAACGTACGTTATTAATGTAACGTTTTAATACATTTTCTTTTCTTTTTCTTTTTTTTTTTTTTTTTTTTCTCTTTTTCTCTCCCAGGAAAATATCGAGTACGTCGTAAGTTTCCATTGCCAAGAACGATATGGGACGGCGAGGAAACGTCGTATTGCTTCAAGGAGAAATCAAGGAGTATTCTGAGGGAATGGTACGCTAACAATCCTTATCCATCGCCCCGTGAAAAACGCGAATTGGCTGAGAACACAGGTCTGACGACAACTCAAGTTAGCAATTGGTTTAAGAATCGTAGACAGAGAGACCGTGCCGCTGAACATAGGTGAGTCTTGTCTTCTTCTGCCTCTTTTCAAACGAATTAGATTTAGATAAGTGATCTTAAGTGGATCATCATCCTAAAATGATATAGTAGATTTTACATATATATATATATATATGTATCTATGTACAAATGTATATTTATCGATAAAAACCTTCCTCCCATCCTTCACTACTATCAAAAGTTTATATACATACTTACCGCGACTCTGATTTCCCCGACTCTACCAACTTAAACTCGCAAGAATCTCAGCTGTCGCATCGTAAAACGAGCAGCGAGAAAATGCGTAGGAGTCGTCTCTTCTTCTTCTTCTTCTGTAGTTTCGTGTTGTTTCGAAGGTCGTTGCTCTACATCCGATTTTAGAAACGACCGACCAAATTCAAAGGCCCTGTAACAGCACATCTATAACGCGTTCTTCTCTCCTCCTCCTTCTCTTCTTTCTCCTTCTCCTCCTTCTCTTCCTCCCCCTCCTCATTCTCCTTCTCCTCCTCCCTCATCCTTCTCTTCTTCCTTCCTTCCTTCCTTCCTTCCTTTTCGTTCTTGTTCTTGCGTTTACTCATCGCATCTCCCACGTCGCGTGATTCCGTTCACATTCATGTTCACGTTCACGTTTCTCTCTCTTTCTCTCTCTCTCTCTCTCTCTCTCTCTCTTTCTCTTCTCCCCGTTCTTCTGTCCGATGATACATCGAATATACTTTTGAAAATATTTATCGATGGAATTTAATTATATACACCGTAATCCTGACGAAATTGTTTTACTTATAACAAATAAATATAAACGATTAAATTCTATTAAAAAATTATAAACATTCGATTAACCCTTTTGAGTGCTGAATAGTCTCGGCATAAGTAAGCAATCATTAATGGTTTTGATCATTGGGAACGAAATAATTTTTTCTTTAATGTTAACTTCGTCGATTGAATACGTAAAGCTCCGTTTACTTAATTGATACGAGAATTAATTAATTATTTTATTCAATATATTAACATGTAAATCATATCTTAATTCGACACTATCTCAAATGTGAGAAATGGTCGAAAGAATTGATAAACGCATATATGCGTCCATAGTCAAACAATGATCGCTTTCGTTAAACGCATATATAAGTCCACGTCACTCAAAGGATTAATAAATAAATATAAACGATCAAATATTATTAAAAAATTATAGATATTCGATTAACCCTTTTGAGTGCTGAATACTCTCGACAGAAGCAAGAAATCGCTGACGATTTCGATCAATTGGTAAAGAAATACTTTTTTCGTTAATATTAATTTAATCGATTGAATATGCAAAAGTTTGACTATTTAAATGATACAAGAATTAATTAATTATTTTATTCTATATATTAACATGTAAATCGTATTTTAATCCCTTTTCGGTACGATTTAATCGTGAAAAAATTGTCCATGAAACAACCATTTAATTTCTATTTCAAAAAACATGTTTCATATTATGATTTATATATATATTGTTAATTAAAATTATATTATTGATTTGGATAGAATTGTGATTATTCATCCATTATCGTGTTTATTTCACAACTATAGTAAATATTTCAACAACTATTTTCTTTGTAGTAAAAGTATAATATTCGTTGTTCACACTTAATGTTTACAAGAATGAAATCCGACTTACTAACAAAATTTGTCTGTGACTTGTATCTAGTAATTCTAACGGTAAACAATATGTGATAATGATCTGTGATATTTACACAAGAAATAAAAGAGGATACGATATTACCAGATTCAATACATTAAAAAAATTTTAAACTATATTAATTATTGTCATATTTAATAGTAATTGTAGTCACATGACGAGTTTTCAATTCGTTATTTTACCGCAAAGGATTAACTTGAAATTATCTCAAACGCGAGAAATGATCGAAAGAATTGATAAACTATGGACGCATATATGCGTCCATAGTCATACACCGATTGCTTTCGTCAAACGTCATATATGCATCTATGGCACTCAAAGGATTAATAAATAAATAAATATAATACAAATGCTATTAAAAAGTTATAGATATTCGATTAAGAAACGAACGTATTTTCGTGATTAATCGTTCAAAATCGATAATACTATTAGTATTAGATTCTCGATGGTGTGTTTTCAAATAGTTTCCTTGTTTTATGAATGAACGAGAAGACTTTCTGCAAATAGAGTACTACGCTTGCAGTAATAACGTTCTTCTTATCTAACCATAGAGGTTATATGGGAGTCATGATGACTTTTTTTCTTTTGGAAGGAACTCATCGATGCGAATAGTGGTTAGGACAGAGCTTATTTCTCCTGTATTTGCGAGAGAAATAGAAAAGAGAAGAAGGAGTTTGCCAAAGGGAGGAAGTGGGAAGCACCATCATGGTAAAGTCAGTCGGCACAGTATACACCACCACCGTACCACGTCACGCCACAAGAAACGTATCGAATTTCTTATGGCTTCTGTATATTCCCATGAACGAAAGCAAGCGAGGTCGAAAGCAAAAAAAAGGGAGAGAACGAGAGAGAGAGAAAGAGAAAGAGATGGTCAGTCTAGAGAAAAAGAGAAAGAGAGAGAGAGGGGGGGAGAGAGAGAGAGAGACGAAGAGAATAAAGAAGAAGAAAGAGAGAAAGAGATAGTCTAGTGTCCTGCCAATAGCTTTTCGTGTACTGGTTGTTATAGTAGTAGAATATCCTGGATACGCCAGGACATCATTCCTGGCATATTAATTACAGGAAATCCCACAAAGCTTCCACCCCTACAACGCACGTTATATACTTTCATTGCTTGTCTTCCTTATCTTTCCCCCTCCCCTCTCTGTATCGACATAGAGACAATGTTTCATCAATCCCCCCCCCCTCTCGAACCTACCTTCTCCATTCACCTCATCCTCTTTCCTATTTTATTACTATCCTCTTTATTATAGTACTGTATTCAATATTTGTTCAACGATCGCGTCTTTTTCATGAAGATAAAAATCATCGCTTTTAGAAACGACGTTTATACGTTCATTATAATGGTAATATGATTTTGATCTCTCGTAGTGATCTATTATTAAAAAACAGACACTTAGTGATGGGTAACGCTTTTAAAGTCACCATTCCTGTAGTTATTTTTTATATCGATGATGATAACGCGCTGGTCCCGCGTTTTGTCCCTTGGGACAGGGGCGTCTTGTTGTGGGCGTCTGCCAACATACAAGAGACATCATATATCCAGTTCATGGTGGTATTAATTCTCCCTTGGGTATCACCATTAAATCGTTTGACTTTTTTCACTTTGACGCCGCGTCGACTTTTCATTCAATTTCTTCCGCTATCATTTATCACGTTTCTTATTAAAATATCGATGAAGTATTTTTTTTTCCGTTCGTTCTATCCAAATAGATCGTCATTTATATTCTAGATTTTTTCTGGAGACAATTATATTGGAAAATTATTATAGGTAATTTACTTTTTGGATGGAAAATGAATGGAAAATCGATCATTATTTATGTTCTAAATTTCTTCGAGAAAATTATATTGGAAAATTATTATAGAGATTTACTTTTAGACCAAATGAACGAACAACAATCGATCATTCTTTATATTTAAAATTTCTTAGATGAAAAATTATATTAGAAAATTGTTCTAACGATTTACTTTTAGATTAAATAACACGATATCATGTAATGATTGTTTTAAACGATAATCGCGAAGTTTTTTATCGCTTGAAAAATAAATAACACAAGGACCACGTCGTCTCGTATTTGTGATAAGAACACGAACGAACGGTCTAGACTCTTTAACGGCGCCATCTCGAATCTTGTGATCAGCATCTTTCATATCTTAACATTTTGAAAACAAAGTTGGACTCTTCCGTTAGCTTCGCACGTTTTATGTTATCGGATACTATCAGAGCTCTCAGTGCTGCTTATATATATTGTTCTAGTGAACTCAGAACGAAGAGAAGAGACGCATTTTTAGAACGCAGCTTTAAGAGAGACAACGCATTGTCTTTTATTATTCCAATGATCTCTCATCCTCCTCTCTTCTTACTTTGTCCGTAGTATTCGTAGTTACGTTCGTCATATATTCTCTTCGTTTCTCCTCGGTCTTCTTATACATTTCACGAAGTGTAGCTGTGTCTGCACTTTTTATTACAACGGAGGATGCTGAGACTTCTCTTTATCTCTGCAACGTAGAAACGTAAACAATTGAGTTATGAAGTCTCTCTCTCTCTCTCTCTTTCTCTCTCTCCCCTCCTCTTCGAAGGAGGAACCATCTCCTCCACTCCCACCCCCACCCCTTCTACCATCCCTCTCGTTCTTTGATTCTCTCTTATCTGATATATACATCAACATTTTCCATTTGCAATCTTTCTTTTTCATCTGACTCATATTCGATTCGCTGTAAAATCATCGATCCCACGAATGCTTCCGTTTGTTTTCCTGGAAGAAAATAAATTATCATTTATTGTATATATTTATTTCATTGGTCCGTTATTGTTTTATAAAAATAATTGAAAATAAGATAGAGATCTAAGTATACATTTAGTTGTTTACCTCTCTCTCTCTCTCTCTCTCTCTCTCTCTCTCTCTCTTTTTCTCTCTTTTTCTCTCTTTTTCTTTCATCCTTTAACAATTTTCATACTTGGAAATGGCCGATCCAGTTTTCTTTGTCCCAAGTCATGGTTACGATGCTTCCGAACACTTTTATTACCCTCTCAAAACATGTTATTCCTTCTGCATTTCCGTACCTTCAGTGATCTTCTCTGCAAAGTCCGATCCCGATCGGTCCGTTTCTTTTGACTTCAAGGGTTAAGAACAACATTAAGGATGCCAAAGATAAATAATGTTGAGACAGAGAGAGAGAAAGAAAGAAAGAAAGAAAGAAAGAAAGATGTTCCCTTTTTCTTTGTGAGATGCCGTCGATTTCAAATTTTGGCCCTTTTATTTTTGTTTTACGTCATTCTGAACTAAGAAAAGAAAAGTAATAATAATAATAATAATAATAATAATAATAATAATAATAATAATAA